AAAAAAAAAAAAAAAAAAAAAAAAAAAAAAGAAACGCTAAATTGATGCTACTAATTCCTAACGAAAGTTTACCTGGATAGGTTTCGCCTTGTCCCAGTCTGCAAGTACATCTTGAGTTCGTTTTTCAACCATTTCATCTTCTTCTCTAATCTTCCCTTGCAAATTCGCAACCTGAAAATCTCCATATCGCAAGCTTCGTAAAGTAATAACTAATAAACTCTTATTAGTATACAAATGCGGCCAAACAACATGACGCAATAGAACAAAACTAATTGAGATAGCCCACTGGTGACAGAATCACAAGCAATAAAACTTTTAAATCTTCAGCTGAGCGGCCTTTTGCAACGAAATCTGAGAAAGATACACGAACAGTACAGATTCAAGCAATACCTTCCTACCCAACGTATTTCAATTTATTCTTGAACAGTTTTTTATATAACCATGCTTGCATGCTTTATTTATTCAGAATAATAATCATAGCAACAATAAAATGAGTTTGAGAAAGCAAATAAAAAGGAAATTTTGACTAACGAAAAGTATCTGATCTTTGCATGGCAAGAAAAAGCTCGTAGCCACCAAGAACTTAAGCAATTAAAAGCTCTTGAATGAACAGTAATCGCATGCTAACTTCTTCAACGATTGCACCTCACAAATTTCAAAACCTTTCTGTTCGAAACCTAAAACCTACCACAGTGCCGCAGCTTGGGTCAGCTAACTGTGAATAAAGCTCATAAATTATGAACATCCAAATACAGTAGCAGTCATAAAAACAATATAATTAAATGCTAACTCTGTTCTTAAACTGCTTATATCCCATCTAGGGTTGGCATTAAAAAGTCATCAAACACTAGATATACCATCATTCCCCGTAAAAATCACCAAGGTTTTTAGCCGTTAGAAACCCTTCAGTAAACAATAATAAAGAATTCAACCAGTAAATGAAAACGGGAATATTCTATGTGAACCAACTGTATTGGCATAAAGTTGACTATACCTGCATAAACACAAATCTAAAAGATAACCCTACCTGGGCTTGAATAGCAGAATCCTTTCTTTCTAAAATGTCACTTAAAGCAGACCACTCTCCATCAATATTTTCAGAATATAGCCATGATGTGGGAAACTGATAACGTTGTTGAGCTAACAAACGCTGTGCAGAACGAAATTGATCAGTCTAAATTAAAAATGTTACAATGTTAAAAAAACAATTAGTCTCCTCAAAACTCTATTATATTCCCACCTTCTCCTGACAAATTTTTATTTTCTTCTTCAACTGTTGGACGTAGGTTATCAGCTGAATGGCTTCACTAGTTGAGCCAGAATCTACGCTCTGTTCCTCTAATTCGGTCCGCCACTTCGAGATTTCAGCAAAGAAGGACTGCATCTCACTGCCTTAAAAGTACCATACAAAAAAATCAAATTTTATCTCAAACAATTAAAAATGACCAACCAACTGAAGTCCCGAATTTCTGCAGAATCTCACGGTGCCAGTAGTCGTATTTCAAAGAAACTTTAGACTGAACTTTAGTATAGTCTACTATGATTGGATAAATTTCTTTTCTAGTTTCCTGCGTATCGAATGTAGATCTAGTTTTTCTCACTTCCACTAATGTTTTCATCCATTTCTTGATATCTAATCCCAAACGTTCATACAAAAGATCAGGTTGCAAATCCCATAAAGCCTAAACCAAACAGAAAAGATTATATGTAAAAATCATATATGGTCGAATATTAACAAAGATACTAAAAAAGTGAACCAGCTGTAATAAATAAGTCACCTGATATCTTAGCCACTCTCCAACATATTCCGATACTTCCTTAATGACTGCTTCAACAGCTGCATATGCTTCATCAAGGATTTTTTGACCCTGTGGTAAAACTGCAAGGACATCCCTGTACGTCGACTCGGTGCTGTTTCTGGTCAAAGCCAGCTGAAAAAAATAGAAAGTCAATAGTTTTTATATTATCTTACAAATTCAGCGCATTTGACAAATAAAGCAGTGTTCAGATCTTACCCTGGCCTCGATAAAATTTAATTTTTTTCAGAATCTTGCATTGCTACCCATACACTATATATATATAAGCCTTATATAAGGCTTACCTGAAAGCGTTTGCTTGAAATGCGATGCTGGTCAGTCACAACAGCTTGCCATGCGAATAACTGATCAAGCAAATGAGCTCGAGCTTGATCGATGCTTGGATTAACGTACATAACCTGTGAAGTGACACGCATTTCAAGAACAATTGGTTGTAAAACTGGCAACGCAGCTTTGTCCTCACTCTCTTCCTCCAAGTCTTTATGGGTAAGGACCAGAGTCCATAATCTTATCGCTTCTTCGACTCGCAACGCTAATTTTTGCTCAATCTGAAGACTCATTAAAATTAAATTTTATTTAACAAAAAGTCCAAAAACATTACTGATTAAAGAAAGAACAGCTCAGTGAATAAATAATACAACCTTCCTATCGATGTCCTCCACCCACTGATGTAAATTCGAGTAATTACCAAGAGAGAGTTGGTCAATGGCCTTCTGTATTGAAGTTAATAAAGCGGAAACAGTTGCTGAAGAGTACTGACATGTATCTAACGCTGCCAGATTGACCTACAAGAAATAATCAATATCAAAAACTATTTAAAGCGATGACGATGAAGCAGCAAATGCAAAAAATACCTCAATTGTGTCCAAAACCATTTCTAATTCCTCGACTTTCTCCTGGTAATTGTTTATTGTTTCAGAAAATTTTACTACGTAAGGATCCATCTTGTACGAATCCCAAGTAAGCATGTTGCCCTGAAACTCCATGTCATTCAAAAAAAATTACGTCACAGGAAACCTCTTAATAACCTTCAAACCTTACTTCAGACAGCTGATTATGTATTTCTTTCCTGCAAGAAGCAATAAGTAAGCTAATTCCGGGCTTATTAGCAATTCTTTCATTAATGGAGTCGTATGTCCGTATAGACTCCAGTAAAGACATAGCAAAGGGATATAGCATGTTAGCGTGATGGGAGAAGTTAACAATGTTAAGTGGGACGCGAAAACCCATATGTTTCAAGTTTCGCACCTGAAAAAACAATAAAGAAACGTCACTTGATTTGCGCACTGGAAAGTTTTAAAAAATGAAAAGTGTTGACCAAATAATTATTGTGACTGTCGACAGAATAACTTACTTCCTTGAAAATAGTTACTACGTCTGGCGAAAAGTTGACTTTCAAATGCAATAGGACTTTCCCATCTTTTTGCCTTTTTTCAAATGTGAACAAACGATCCTGTATTGAAATATTTTTCGCCTTCACTTTGGCAATCCAAGCTTCAAAAATAGGCTGAGTGTTTAGTTTTTGCCTAAAGTTGTCGCCCTCAAGCTTCAACTGATGACCTAGAAGGTAAAAGACAATGAATATGGTTAAAAAGCCACTTAAAGCGATGCTGTGAAAAAAATTAAGTCAGTGACTGATCATTTTAAAAATACAACTTAAAAACCTTCAACATGATTTTCCCATCCTTTTCCAAGAACATCTTCTATACGTTTCATAAACTGCGACAAACGTCGGTCTATCTGTCGAATCCAAATAATAGAAGCAGACAAAGGAGGAATATCAATAGTACTCAAATTCCTCTGATTAATTTCTTCATTGAATTCAGTGAAACGAGTCTAAAATCATAAAATTGAGCACTTCATGGTTTAAAATTCATAGCTTCATTTGCGGTATACTGGACAAGTTCAAACACTCAAATAACCTGCAGTTGATCAATATCTTCCTTGACTCGTTGAATTAGTAGAGTCTGGTATTCACGAATAGCGCCACGAATGTGTGGCCTGACGAAAAGCGCATTAAAACGTTGGAATATGGTAAACATTTCATCGGCATTTTTTGCTGTGCCCAGCTGATCCCGTAACAAAGCTGTTATTTGTGTTTCAACCCTGTCGATCATTCCTTCATACCTAAAAAATTTAGTAAACATTTTTTTTGTAACATTTATATAGAAAAATTTCACAAAATTTACAAGAAATGCACTTTAAAAAAAAATTGGAAAGACAGAAACAAAATATTACCGACGAACAGCATCCTCCCAAGCAGCGGTACCGTCTGATGAAATGTCCAGACAATCAACTTCTTTAACATTTTCATAGGCTAAGTTCACTTGCTCAACTGCACCGAGATCTCCTACATGCAATGCAGGCACTGATCTTTCGCTGTTTTCTCCAACCTCCTGCTCATTGCCAACTGCCCCAGCCGGACGCAAGACACGAGATATTACCATGCGTAGCTGTTCATGCTGCCTTTAACCAAAACTCAACTGAAGGATAAGAAACTAAGTGAACCGATCTAATGAATAATGATGAAACCTTCTGAATTGTCGCATCTGTTCTAAACGTGCTTCGAGTTTCTTATGTTGTGGATTGATTCGCCAAGCAAGCTTTAAATGCTCCTCTCTTTTCTTTTTTGAAAGTTCGCGCAGCATCTGAGAAAGCTTGTCATACTCATCGGACCAAGCAGAAAAAACATCGCAACATTGACCTATGAGGGCATCAAATTCCATTAGAGGTATATTCATCAGTCTTCTTGTTCCCAGTACCTAAACTGTCAAAAAAACAATAAAGAATGCAGTAAACATTGAATAAGAAGTAAAATTTTTAGGAAAACATAAAACTTTTGAACAAGCAATGCAAACACCTTTGTGAATTTAAAAGTAAAAGACCTAAAAAATAAAAAAACCTTACAACTAGTCTCCAACAACAGAACTTAAAAAAAAAACAGTGAAAAGACTGGTAGGAAGAATCAAAATCTCACGTCGTTTGGCCATCTCTCAAGAACAGATGAAAACCACAAAAACTGACCCTCAACATTTGCGAACAAAGATCTTTCGATATCGCCTCAATAAAACGCAACGCTCGAATGATAGGATACTTTGTGTTTCTAATCTTCTTAAGGTGAGCAAAAATATTAATAACTGCTAGACGGATTGCTTCCATATCAGTCGCCGCCATAAGTTCATTCAATGGCATATCCTTCATCAACAAGTTATAATTGTTCACTTTCGACATTGCTTCCCTAAGACCTTAAAACAAATTTCCATCATAACTTGAGCGTTGAAATAAAGTACAGAAAAAAGGTTGCTAAACACTAAACGATAACTTCAAAAGCGGAGCTAGCAATTAGACCAATTTACTGGCCGACCTGTATCAGCATCAAAAGAGACAGTTGCATGGAACCTCTTGCCACATTTTAATGCTTCAAGAGTTAAAACAAGTTCCTCTGACTCCCTTTTCTGGTTAACTTTATAGAGCGCACGCTCCAAATTCAGCCAAAATGCAACTTCTTGTAATGATGTGCCTGAGCCTGCATCACGATCTAACTTGGTGACCTGCGGATGAATAATCAAGGAACATTTTTTAAAACTCATAATCTGGATAATGTCATTAATAACTGTTATGAAATTGAGTATCAGGTTACCTAAGTTTGCTAATTACCTTTTGAATCTCCTTAATCCAACGATTAACACCTTTCTGTAAGCTATTTAAAAACACTGCATCTTCAATATCTTCTCCTAAATCTTCAACTTTAGCTTTTCGACCCTCACTGGCCGCTTTCTCAACAACGGCTTTGATAGAAGGATGAAATACAAGATTGATTTCAGGTATATCAATGTTCTGCTGCATATGGAGCAACGAAACTTCAACCTTGAAAAAAAGATAAGTATAAATTTATATAGAAAACTAAATAAAAAACTAATCAACTCCTCAATTCTTTCAATATGCTCAATAAAACAAGCACCTCATTCAAACTTTTCTCGACTGAAGCAGCCATTTTATCGCCGTCTCTCTCCCCGTTTCCAGAATCTTTAAGCGTTTTAAAGAATGGCGCTCCAACCCGACCAAATAAAGTCAGCAATACATCATAAGGATTACCCTCAGGTATCCTAGAAACAACAGTACACAGTAAAAAGCATATCTACAACGAGAGGTGAAGGCAGTTACCTTAAAACATAAAGCTGATCTTCAATTGGTTTGTCTGCTTCAATAACTGTACCAGTTTTGACCAGAAGAAGCGAAGTAGTGCGCTCCGAACGTTTGATAATTTCGTTCGAAATCCGTATGGTGGCAATCTCATCCACGGTGTCATCCGCATTTCCAGTATCTGAATCCCAAGTTTCGTGTAAAATTCCACTTCCCAAAGATCACACCTTAACAACTGTATGACATTACTTAAGAGGAATCACCTCTGTTATTGATGCGATCCACTGTAAGAAGTTTGACTTGAGGATCAGCAATTAAGCTTTGTATGCATTCAACACCCGATTTTTGAGTTAATGCATCCTGAAGTGACTCTATATCTGCCCCGATGTAAAGATGTTTTATATACGAGGAAAGCGAACGAACATCCGAAAGCGCAACCTGTAAATTTTTCATCACTATAAAATAGACTGGACAAGACTAGCTAGCGCAGGCATATGAATAACTGTTCAATGGCACCCATGCTTCTCAGAAAAATTTCGGGCCAGTACAAAAAAGACTAGAAATAAAAGCAGTAAGTACAGTTAAAAAACCAGGCAAGAATTCACCAAGTACATCAAAACATTCTTATCACTAGTTTATAAATATTGTGAAATAATATTATAAATATTATATACGATGAAGTATGAAAATTCGAAAGCGCGACGAAAAGAGGCATAAAAAACATAGAAAAAAAGATTTTCTGTTCCCAAAACTTAGGGAAAAGCAGTCCAATTCCATTACAAAAAAAAAAAATGTGAACTGCGACACCAAGAAAACCTACCTCAACCGGCGGCGGTTGGCTCGACGACGTCCTGTCACTTTCCGAATCAGTCATCCGTTCCACCCAACAGACTGAAAGACAAATATTTTACATAACTAAATAATGACAATTTCTTCACAATTATTTGGTCAAAACATCCGGGACAAAAGTTTATCCTGAAGAAAAAAAATTGACAATAACGTTTGGCAAAGAATTATAACCAGAGAGCGATATTATAGCAAATTTTTGTCAAATGTTCTAAAGTGTTAATCAAACAGTAAATTTGAAGATTATTTTGCTTAGAAAAACAAAGAGGTTGGCTTGTAAAAGTTTAGAAAAACAGATGAACACCGCACAGCACAACTATGTAGCAAAAACAGAACTTAATTTACAGCATCACAATTTCAACATTTTACAAAAGATCAATATAACCTATGCAAACAGATTTTAGATGGTGGTGAGAAAAAAAAACATCAACGAGCAAAAAACTATCGATTCATATAAAAGAGAAAAAAAAAATTGATTTTGAGTATCATCATCATTTCGCCAGTACCCAAAAACAGCACTCCAAGAAAAACATACAATATATACACAGACACAAGAACGCACACGAAAGAAAAGGTCGAGTCTAAGCACCCGCCCTTGTTCAGATCGACGACGAGCACTGTATAACAACACCTTCATCAATTTTTATAGAGTCACCCGTTCGTCGCCGATCATAAACAGCCATTAGTTATAACTGTTCAGCAGTTTCAAATAGCCGACTAATCAATCGGATTATTTTCAGTTGACATCACAAATCAATACAGTTCAAAACTTTTAAAGCATACAGGAACCTCAATACAGACAGATCAGTAAAAAATAAATAAATGAGTGGCCAAAAAAAAAAAAAAGGACAGAAGTAAATGAAGATTACGACGTCAAGGGATTAAATGTGCACAATGTTACAGTGTTAGCTGTAACGATTAAGCACTCCCTAACCAACTTGTACGCCTATGGTTGCTGTATATCTGAGGGGGCAGTACATCATCATCAGTAATGAGGAACATTAAAGGCCAAATCTAAACAATGCAGCTTTTCGCGGTAAACTTCATCTATAACAGCTCTATATTTACAGTCGACTGTCTACGAACAGTGAGAATAGAGTTAGCACCGAGACTGGTGTGAAACCAATATTTGGTTTAACATCTCTGTTTGGTAATCAATTTGGTTTCATTCAGCTGGTTACTGATACGTGTTAATAAAATCAGCAAAGAAGTTTTAAACTGTTAAATTGAGAGTTCAAAAAAATAAATGAAAAAATAAAAAATAAGAGAAATAAACCTTTGTAGCATGTTAGCAACCTGTAAAAGTACTGAATTTTTCTCTCAAGCACCATACTAACAACCAAATCTTTCAGAAAGTAAATTTCTCATAAACAGCAAAATTCTAAATACTAACATTTTCTGTATCTATCCGTCCTTGTAACTGTAGGCTAAAGTCACTGCTTCGATCAAGGCATTTTGACAGTCTCATTTTGTATGACCAGGTCAGCGCAAGTAAGTACTTTTTAAAATAAGTGTTCAATGACATATAACAATTTTTTATAATTCTTAACTAAAAATTTTTTCAATTCTAAAATAAATTTTTTATGTCGTTGATTTGGAAAATAATAATAACAGGTAACATGGAACAGATAATAAACTGTGGATGACTTTAGAGTTATTTTAACCCTTAATTATGGAATCTGTTCAGCTCTGTCGATATAGGTCTTTTACCCGCAAAATATATTAAATATACCTGGTTGAATGAAAGTTAATCTCATTTCTCTAGTTTATGTTTTTTTTTTTGACTATGGATTTCAGTTTCTACTGTTTTAATACCAATGGAATTGGTATGACAGATTTTGGTATTACCGACCTTTGGCAATTGCTTTCAGCTTATTCGACAATAGGTTGCGAGATTTAAGTAAGTTGAAAGAATCAAAGTACGTATATAAAAAAAAACTTTTAATTACTGTTATTTTTGCTTTAACCAAATTTCTTTTTTAAAATACATTTAAGTCGGCTAAGATTTCTGTATAGACTGAGAATAACAAAGTGCTAAGGAAAAGGTTTATACGGAAATAACTAAAAATGAAGCAAAGTCTAAAGACAAATAAGAGAAAATTTTTTGATTTGATTAATTTGATCAAAGGAAAATAACAGATGAATAAAATC